AGTAATATCATACCTCATATCGAAGCCTGGTGCACAAAATGGAAGGTAGCCATCAACACCACTAAATCTTCACTACTAATTATTAGGAAATCAAGTAAAAAGAAAGTCATTTATCCAAATATTACTCTTTTCAATGATGCAATACCACTAGTTCGAAAGGCCACCTACCTAGGCGTCACTCTTACTAGTACTTTAAACTGGAATACCCATATTGAAAATATTCTTAACAAAGCGCAAGGAGCCTATAGATCTCTGTAACCAATATTAAACTATAATTCAAAACTACCACTCAAAACAAAACGAACGCTATGCCTCCAATGCATACCTGCCAACTCTTCCGGATTTTCCGGAAGATTTTATTTTCATTTTTAAAGTGGTAGTAAATATATACTATTTTTTTCTTTTATAATTTTAATTTTTAAATGATTTTGATCACCACTATTTTTACAAAAATTAAGCACATATATCAATATGCCTTACTATCATGGTTGTCATTTTAAGTTTTCTCAAACACAACGTATTTGTTTGCTTAAAATTGAAGTTTTAATTCCATTATAATACCACTGGGAAAAATTATAATGGAAAGGATTAAAAGTTGGCAGGTATGCCAATGCATTCGACCGATCATCAGCTACGCAGCCCCTGCATGGAGCTCAACCACTGTTACTCAAAAAAACAAACTGGAGATTACTCAAAATAAATTCCTCAGATATATCACTGGAGCCCCCAGATCCATGAGAATGAAAGATCTAAGACGAGAGTTAAAAATCAACAAAATAGATGAGCACATAGCTGAACTATGTGCAAGTTTCTTCAGAGGTGCACTCTCTTGTCATACGTGCAATTACTTTAAAAATTTTGATTTTGAGCTCATCAAAGACAACATAAAATATAGCCCGGCAACCGCCTTTTTCCTATCCGACGGAGTTTTATCCCGTAAATTTTGTAAATAGCTGTAAATACTTGTAAATAATTTTGCTCATTTATTATGTATTTCTCCTTTTCTCTGAAGCTATGTGACTACTGTGCACCTGAGAAGCTCGGGGGTAATACCTCGAAGGGAGGCGAGGCAGTCTGCTACAAAACCTCTTCTCTCTCTTAAACTTGTTTGTTCAATCTCACTACTTCATTTTAATTTTCTCTCAGTAAAAGATACTGAACCCCAACTTTCACCTTTCAGTAGCGCTTCGGCGATTTATTATTTATTTCCACTCAGATGAATTAGTTAGAGCCCCTAGCGGGGCTGATGCTAAGATAACCATCACATATGAGTATGAGTGGTCTTAAATCAAAACTAAATTTGCTTGTACTATTTAAAACCATAAAATGTTTATAATGCTCAATATCAATTTTTCTAGTCATTTACCTATTGCAAATAATGCATAATTCTCTAATCAAGTCAGTACATAATGTTTATTTCGCTAATCATGGTTGTACAAAATGACTAAAATCAAATTGTTTGTACTTATTAAATGTTTTTAATTTTTCAAGCAAATGAGCTTGGTTTCTTTAACTAGCTACCATAACGTTGCTAAATACAAAATGTTTGCAAATCAACTTGCTTATATTTCATGATGTATGGGGTAGGGGCCTCTGCGCGTCCCAGGTACCCAGTTTTTGTTTAATAAACGAAAGAAGGAAAAAAAAAGGTTTAAATCACCCCACTGCCTGCTTACTTCTATGTTTAACAAGTTGCTAAACTCAATATGTTTGTAACTCAATGTATTTATATTTTATGATGTATGGGATAGGGGACGCTGCGGGGCCCAGGTGCCCAGTTTTATTAAATAAAGCGATCAAGCTATGCTCAACAAAACTCTGTGCAACTTCAAACAAACATAGTTTAGAGCAAGCTCTAAAATTCCAGACGAATGGGCCTGGTGCCCAATAAAATCAAAATACTAGAACTAGTCTTAAATCGTGATTAAGCCTTTACACAGAGATGCCAACTTGCTGCGGATGGTGGATAATTATTTTCTAGTGGTATTGTTTTTTGGTGCATGATTCTAAATTTAGTAAATTCTATTAATGAATTTTTTACTTACGACTACTTTTAAATAATTCAAAAGCTTATGTGATACGCCACTTTGTTATAGTTATGTCGTGTTCAGCTACTTAAAAAGTTGGTAAAATTAACCGGAAATCTACAAATTTTATTTACCAGTTCTCTTCCGTTTTTTAAAAGATTTTGTTGAATCCGGATCAGTTAGCCTTTTCAGAATTTACCAAAATTCTGACATATTTAGTGTATAATTTTCTGACACCTTACAAAATCTTTTTTTTTTTTTTACGTGGAACAGTTGGGATCCCAGATATTATTATTCTGGCTCTTTCACTAACTGATCATTAAAATACTGATTTTTGTGTTTAAAACATGAAAGTTCATTTATTAAGCAATTTAATTTTTTTCCAGATGGTAGTTCCTCTTCTGAGAAGCGTGACATGATAACCGAATTAAACTTGCTGAAAGATATCCATCATCCAAATGTGATACAACTTCTCTGTGCTTGTACTGATGATGGTAAATAATGCAGGATTTTTCATTTATATCGTATACTGTCAAGCAAATATAATAATAGTTTATTAATTGTTAAGCTAATATATTAATAATGTATGAATTGTTAAGCTAATATATTAATTGTTAATTAACTTAATATATTAATTTGGGTTTTCCAACTACCACTAAGCTCAGTATGCAACTTCGTGAAATGACAACTGAGGTCCGTATACAAAGTAGTCTTAAACTTTTTTATATAGCTTATAGAGTAAGAAAAACAATGGTGACATCTGAGAACCATCAATGGGAAGGGAATAAAAGGGAAAAGAAAACAAATGGGAAGTTCCTAGTGGCCAAGACTATTATTAACTATTTAGAAGTTAAGGTATTATGAACAAAAACGCAGTTTTCAACTTAAATATTTAAATGTCTGCTATCGCTATTAAAAAAATGACAAATTGTTTCCTCAGCACTTCTTAACGCTGAATCGAATAATATGAAAATTAAAGCCGATTGAACTAATAGCTCTGTATAATTAGGGTTTTGTGTATGAAATTTATAATTTTTATCTTACATCTAATAGTAAATCATTCCCGTAGCATCCCGTTGTGGGCAAAGAGGTCACGGGGTCAAATTTCTCTCAATACTTGATCAAGAGTTCCCTTGTCTTCTAGATTAGATTCAAAATTTAAGGATACAGAGTTGAACATTGGTATTCGTAAGCTGAAAACTCGGTCGGTTGTTCAACGACGGTTATAAAAATTATTTGTCATTTCATGTTTCATGTATGCTAGTCTTTGCGCAGCGAAACAAAATGTAACATTAAGTTGAACACCCAAAAACAATGGCGTCGGCAATTAGATAGATAAGTCAGAGATAATGGAAGGAATCTCAATCATATTATCAATAACAAAAATTGCTCTCCATCTCATATTTAATCCTTATTGTTTTTAACATTTGTTTATTTTTTCACTTTAATAGAAGGACCACTTTATCTCATAATGGAATACGCTGAGAATGGAGCTTTAATAAACTTTTTGAAGAAAATGAGATCGGATGATTCTGATGTAAAAATGGAAATTTCCGAATTATTCTCATTTGCCCTGCAAATTGCCAGAGGAATGGATTATCTTGCGAGTGTCAAAGTATGTATACATTTGTGTATATAGTTAGTAGTTATAAGCTTTGCATTGTTCCTTCATACCAAAGCAGGGTTTCTACGAACTGTAAAAAGTTTATTATGAGGATATAGACGTTTTAAGTTTGCTCGTTTCTACGGAAAAGAGGTGCGAATCAAACCAGTTAATCGCGAGATTTAATTTTAGAAATTTCCCACAGTGTACGAAATGAAAATCAAACAATGGCGTGTATACAAGTCGAAAGCGGAATAAATGGTCCTATTATAAACTTTATGCAAAACGGTGAAGGAGCAAAGTTTTATTTAATAAAAAATTAACTATTCATTTCTGTAAAGTTTACTGTTATTAGAAACTTATTAAAAATTTTCGAACAACACATAAGATTCAATTTATCAATAATACGTGTACAATAAGAAGTTTCGTAAGGTTTGAAATATATCTATGACTACGCAGATTTTTTTCAACAGTTTTTACTGCTTTTGTTTACCCAAGAGAAAGTATATAGAGGTGAATAGAATTAAAAATCGAATAAGTTAAAAGCAAGAAAACAACGTAAATAAGGATACTTGATAAGGATACCCAATACTTGATCCAGGAGTTCCCTTGTCTTCTGGATTGAGTTCAAAATTACAAGGCTACGGAGTTGAACATTAGAAGTCGTAAACCCAAAAACAATTGGGCCGGCTGTTCAACGACGGTTATAAAATAAAAAAAATTTCTGCTTCTTCGGCTTATGTTTGGCTCCCTTCGAACCGGCCAGCAACTCTCCAAGCTTCTGAATTGGTTAAATAACTTCGTTGAAACATTGCACTCATTGAAACAATGCGCTTACTGAATATCGATTATTCTTTTCCGCTTTGTCTTACATTAAGTTGAAAGTTAAATCAAATTTACTGGCAGCTAAAGTGTCGTCCTCGACGTCAAACTGAAAATTTGCATTTGAGACTCTCTTATGTCATTTTATGCACACAAAAAATTTGCTTATACAAGACTTACAATATCTTTTAATTGTTTTGAGCAGTGTATATCATGAAAATATTTCCTTAAAATATCGTTTTTGCTTGTTGATGTCTTACAATAAATCGATACGTTGCCCTCTCATTGTATTCTAAACTGATTTTTGTTTAGGTTGTACACCGAGACTTGGCTGCAAGAAATGTATTGGTATCATCTGATAAAGTTTTAAAAATATCGGATTTTGGTCTTAGTCGAGATGTCTATCAAGAGGATGCCTATCGTAAATCTACAAAGGTAAGTATTGATTTCATACTTTTTTTTAAAAGTGTGTTTAGTATGACGTAAGATATTTACGGCGAAAATTTTATAATGGATGAATGATATTCCTCCAGATTTAGACGAGTTTATATGCAATTCTTTTATATTTAAGCACACATGTCATGGGTTTTTATTTAGGATATTTTTTTATATACTTCCTATTTGCATTAATATATTATTTTTCTAAGTTATTGCATTACAATGTTAACTAATTGATATACGAATATAAACAAGTACAAACTGGTTTCAGCCACGTCAAAGCAATAATACTGTATAGTATCACCTTATAATTAAGATTTTACATAGAATCTTACAGTGAGTCTAATAATTTGGCCAGGGTGATCGAAGTATTCTATGAAAAATTGAGAAATAGTGGCTAATTTATTTCAAACTAACAAACAACAGTCTTAGGTTAAGGCTAACAAAATTCTTAACTTTATCTCCCACTTCAATTTAAAATTAACACCACAATCAGATTTAGAACTAAATATTTTGATGTATATTGTTAACATTAGGTAGTAATTAAAATATTTAGTTTCTTCGAGTTTCGTTTCACATCAACAAAAGAAAATATCATAACATTCTTAACACTACTTTAGTAGGAAACTTTGAGCACTGTGATATCACTGTATACATTTTAGAATTAAATTGTGTTCATTGCAGATTCTTATTTACGAAAATTATTAATAATTTGTTAATATTTTTTCAAGGGAAAGGTCCCGGTGAAATGGATGGCTCTGGAATCTCTTCAAACTAACATCTACACCACGAAAAGTGATGTGTAAGTCATAATTATAATCCAAAGCTGCAACGTACGTTGCAATAAATTTATTCTTACTCCTGCTAATACAGTAGTCTCCGTTTATTATGATCGCTGTTAATGTTATCAATCGCTTATTGTTATCAAATTCCCTCTGTCTGTGTTTTCTCTATTCATTTGTATATTAAAATTATGGCTATCGTGTTTAATTACCCCTTGAGGACGGGAGATTCATAAAAGCATTCGTACAAAATCAGAATTAGGATGTAAATAAATAAAAAACGGTAGCTGAAATGTAGGCGTAGCTAATTTGACAGACTTACTTTGCTTAGACTTTAATTATTGTTAGTTTAATCATATATATAATCAATATTAGTTCAAAGTATAACTAAATAGTTTTATTTTGAACTAAATTAATGGTGAATTAAATAAATCAAACAATTATAACCCCGCCCACAAATAAATTAATAAAGAATTACTTTGGTTACCAGTTTTATCTTTTTACCCTGATTTATACGGTTTTATGCTGGCACGTATTTGTGACAGTCGGCGCGAAAGGATTAAGTCGTTTAAAGTTATCATCTCAACTACCAAAGAAGTAAATACTGTGTTTTCAGAACAAACGTGTTTTTTTTTTTTTTTTNTGAAAAAACGTGTTTTTTTTTTTTTTTTTTTGCCTGCACTGTTTGAATTTCAAAAAATACAAAACTTATAAGGCTCGGATCCTCTTAACTTGTTTCGTTTTCAGTGTAAATATTTGCCTCAGATTGAGGTGAACTATAAAGCCAGAAGAAGGGCTCGATCAACTCTAAAGGCCTGTTTAGACGATCCAATTTTAGTGTCAACGAATCATCAAATTTCTTGGGCAGAGAAATCCGTCCAATTTCTCGGATACAAGAAATTGGACCGTGTAAACAGGCCTTAACGAGCTGTGCTTTGTGTATATTTGTGAAAGAAAGAGACCTCTTCGTACGCTTCAGAAGCGGTTTTTGTTTACATTCAGAACAAATATCAGGCCTGGATGAGGCAAATATTTAAATTTTAGCTTTAAGCTCGATTAACAGTTAACGTAGCTACGTCACAAAATAGAAAGTTGACCAGTTGTCCCTTCTCCTTCTCTCACCTTAGATGGTCTTTCAACTGCATGTAGACAGGAGTGTGAAGATTGGCTGTGCTAATACCATGTGATAATTTTCTTCCTATCTCTGAAGAGCTGTGTCTTATCTAAACCGAGAACGAGCTTGTAGGTATTTTATGCCCTACTCGCTTTCAATGAGTTTGGCGATATAGATAGAAGAAAGTAAACTGATTTAATATTAAAACAAAAGATTGACATTTTAAACCGCTGTAACAGATTACCAAAAATGAATCAATGCAATGCTGCAGTTAACATCTTTCATTCTCTACTAAGGAAAAATTTGAAAAATCTGTGATAATCCTATTAGATCATCAGGGTATAATTGTAGAAAATCAAAAGGAAAAATTATCGACAATCAATTGGTCATTTTTTTAAATTATCCATTTTTTTTATTTTATGGAAAATATGCAATACATAAAGTAGTACTTCAACTCATCCCGCCATAAAATAGGATATATGACTAGATAATGGTACTTGTGCTTTGTAATACTACTAGTTCCACCTAAAGTTATTTATAATGTCTATTATAGACTAATTATCTTATATCGTCACTAAAGAGTATATTAAATACATGAATAACCAATTTATAAATGAATGTATACTTTTATTGCTTACCGTGAAGATGGTCCTATGGAGTTTTGTTATGGGAAATTGTAACTATAGGTGAGTATGATTGTTATTCAATTACAATATCAGTTATTTCTCCCCCGTAATAGAACTTGATAAATGAAGTTTAAAAAAAATTTTTATGACATACACTGAGGTGAAAAAAGTCATAGTATAGCAATATAGCAACTGTAGCTACAGATGGCAGTAGTATCGCGTAGAAGATGCATTTATGGCAGAGTTGGCCGTTGATTACAGTAATCGATTACAACTGTAATTGATTACAGATAATTACAGCTATGTAATCAATTACTTGTAATCACGATTACAAGTAATCAATTACTTGTAATCGTGACTTTCAAAAAATTTCAACTTTCAAACTTCAAAATTCAAACTTTCAAAAAATTTTGATTACAGCTG